AGTGATAGAAAGAAGGACTCTGTGACCAAAACACCGGGGTTGGGATACATAGCCAAGGCAATACAAACACCAAAATAATTAAGAGGTATGAATAAAGGAGAGAAGGAGACAATGCTCAGTAACCACATGATCATCTGCATGTGCAAATTCAGACACCCTCAACTGATCGAGGGCTTACAAGATTATCTGGCACTATCCTTCTATGTAGAAAGTAAACATTTTATTTTTTAATTAAAAATAGTTATTTTTTGGCTGCGCTGCATCTTATGTGTGACACTCAGAATCTTTGATGCCACATGCAGGCTCTTTAGCTGCAGCATGTGACTTTTTTTTGTTGTGGCACGTGAACTTTTAGTTCTGGCATGTGTAATCCAGTTATCTGACCAGGGATCGAACCCAGGCCCTGTGCATTGGGACTGCAGAGTCTTAACCACTGGAACAACAGGGAAGTGCCGAGAGTAAATATTTCAGAACTACCCTAAATCTAGTGGCTCAGAACGTAAAGAATCCACCTGCAATGTGGGAGTCCTGGGTTTGATTCCTGAATTTGGTAAATCCCCTGGAGGAGGGTATGGCCACATACTTCAGTATTCTTGCCTGAAGAATCCTCATAGACAGAAGAGCCTGGCGGGCTAAAGTCCATGGGGTCACAGAGTCAGACACGACTGAGCGACTAAGTCGGCCCCTAAATCTAGCTGAAGAGAAGGAATATATCATCTCTTTTTCTCTGACAACATGATATCTGTCCTGAGTTCCTTGATTTCTGCTCCGTTTTCCTAATCTAACATCACTTTTGGGGTCGGGTCCCCTTTTCTCCAAGATTTTCTAGAGGGTATCTGCTCAATGTGTGTAGGAATATGCATTTCCCAGGAAGCCTTTAATCAAGGGACAGAAGCTGATATGGGAACCTCCATGAAGGAGGGCTGAGGAGACAATCACCCCTGAATACAGGGGTCACCCAAAGACTAAGAAAAGGAATCTTAGATCAATAGAAGGAGCAGTCCCTGGCTGTGGTAGATGTAGTGAGGATGCTGAGCAGGAAGAATCTGGAAGGACTCAAGTTGCATCCCCACCGTCTGTTCTCAAGAGGCCCTGATGGACTAGGATCACAAGAGGATCACCCTGACTTCCAACGTGGAATTCTCAGGAGACTAGGACCTTGATGTAAGACAAGAAGCTTCATAAAGTAGAGAGTGGAGTTACAGGATTTATCATGTGTCAATATGAGGACCTGAAAGTGGACTCATGGTAGCACACACCATAAAAGGAGGCCCTGGAAATTATCTGATGCTGGGCTCCCTGGGAAGCTCTGGGGACAGATGTCAGGTTGATTTCAGTCTGGCAAGTCTCAGTGAGGTGAGATCTCTGTCTAATAGGATCAGCCTCCGTTTCACAGAGGAATGGACCTGAGCCCAAGCAGGACCTCAGATGACAATGCTGACTGTTAGAGGGGACCCCTGGAGAGGGAGCCAAACAGAATTCTGTAAATTGTTAGCCCTGAGAGACCCAGAAGAGCTACCTCTGAGTGGTCCCCTCATAGAGACCCAGAAGAGCTACCTCTGAGTGGTCCCCTCATTCCGCCTGTGTGATCTCGGGGAGGGCAGGGCCTCCTCTAGCAGGATTAGGCCCCAGATCTGCAGAGGGGGACGTCTTGACCATAACCGGACTTAAAGTGAGGACCATCAGTGCTAGTGAGAGGGTCTCCTGCAACGAGGGAGGCTCACATAGTGGCGCCCCTCCTGACAAGCAGAGATGCTCAGAGCAGTGCCCTGACTCCTCCCACTAGGGACTCAGGGAAGCGAGGGCTTTGTCTGGGGGCTGGAGGACTTGGATTCATAGCTGGAGACGTCCCGGGCTCTAACACACTGCGCAAGGAGGACCCAGGGACGGATGAATATTGAGCTACCGGGGTTTCCGTAGTGCCTTGCCCCTGCCGTCATCTCCGGGAGACCCCACGTAGGGGGGAGACCCCACGCAGCTCCCGTCCACTTCCGCTTCAAAGGCGAGGAGCTTGACTGGGAGTCGTGGCGTCTCTGGTGGCGTTTCTGTGTCCAGGACTTGTCCAGAACCAAGGTGAGGACCAGAATGTAACTGAAGGGTCTTAGCGAACCCACTATTAAGAAAAGTGACCCAGCCGCAGCCCACCCCTGTGATCTGGCTCTTTCGAGTCCCTCACAGCTATCGGCTGAATGCGGTCTAGCGTGTGTCAGGTGAGGGCGTTGGTCTGTGGGGTAGGCCCGGATTCTACCCTCGAAGGAGCTCTCGGTCCTAGATAATGGCCCTGAGGGCCGATGAGCAGACTTCGACACCGCATGTGGGCCGTACTGAGTGGCCCCCCTGCACTCAGCTCTAGGAGGCCCCACGTGGAGCTGGCCAACGTTTGTGCCCCCTGTTGTTTACTGGAGGTGGTATCAGGGAGGTGAGAACCTTGCTCTAAAGTAATAAACTTAGTTCAACAAAGGGACCTAGTCCCCAACACGATTCATGGTTGTGACGCTGAGTGAGGATGGGGGCTGTTCCCATAAGAAACGGAGTCACAATCGGGCATTTTGACATGACACTTCCCAGTTCCTCTCAGGGAATTGAGACACCAGGTAAAAGTGGGGAGCGTCAGGCTGGGAAGGGAGAGTTTCGGGTTCCCTGGTGGGATGGTGAGAACCTCGGGGGCTGTGGGGATGTTTTACACCACATCATTCAGACCACATCCTCCCTGTCATCATCCCTTTGAGACCTCAAGAATACATGGCGGTTGCCACTGCGGGCTAAAGGGGATGCAACTCCCCTCAGACCACTCCACCTGGTCTGAGGGGTGTGGTCAGCCGACTGCGAAATCTTAGACCCTGTCATAAATCAAATGTAGGCCTTGGTTGCTTCTATGTCCTGGCTGTTGTAAAGAGTGCTGCAACGAACTTTGGAGTACAACTGATTTTTAAGTTACTGTTTCCTCAGGGGATGTGCCCAGTAGTGGGATTGTTGGCTCATGTGGTAATTTTAGTCCTAATTTTTTTATGCAGAGTGAATTAAGTCAGAAAGAGGAAAGCCAATATTGTATATTAACACATACACATGGATTTCAGAAAGCTGGTACTGATGAACCTATTTGCAGGGCAGCAGTAGAGTTGCAGACATAGAGAACAGACTCGTGGACACTGGGGGAAAGAGAGGGAGGGACAGACTGAGGGAGTAACATTGAAAACACACACATTACCATATGTAAAATAGATAGCCAGTGGGAATGAGTCGTATGACACAGAGAGCGCAAACCCGGTGCTTGTGATAGCTTAGAGGAGTGGGATGGGCTGGGAGGTGGGAGGGAACTTCAAGAGGGAGGGGACATACAGTATACTTATGGCTGATTCATATTGATGTGTGGCTGTAACAAACACAATACTGTAAAGCAATTATCCTCCAATTAATAGTAAATAAATTTAATTATGAAAAGAGATAGAGAAGCAAAAAGATATTATAGACCTTGAAATGGGATCTTGTGTGGGACCACAGGGACATCAACCTGCCTGTAATAGCACCTGTTCTTAAAAGACTGTGTTTGGTAAGATAAGGTCATCTTACTTCCTCCTGTTGGGACACAGGCTGATTGGGTTTTACTATCTCACAGGCATCAATTCAGGAGAAAGAGGAGCTTCTCTGCCAGGAGCCCAATTGAGGAACCTGAGTGAGTACTCAGTGCATTTATCCCATCCCTTGGATTTCAGCCCAGGAAATCTCAGGGAAGGGCTGTGAGGTTGAGCATCTACTTCACTGCTTTATACCAAGTCTAGGGGAGGGGAAATGTCTAGTCTGAAGGTGCAGCCACCAGTCAGCAAATGGAGAATTGTGCCCAATGTTTTAAGGAGCCAATGTAAGAACCATGAATGGTGATCCCAGTGAACTCGGGATGGAAAAAACCCTACTGAGCCCTCAGCACTGGGTTTCCCCTGGGAGGGAGGTGGCCTGAGATATCCCTTCACTTGGCTTCTGGATGATGTGGAGGTCTAAAGTGTCTACTTCAGAATAGCAGAGGGAAGGGTGCCCAGGCTCTGTCAAGGCTTGACATGACTAAAGATGAGCTGAGAGGACTGCAATGCTGGTAAATCCAAAGCAGCGCTGAGAGGATGCAGAGGGAAAATCTAAGGCCTCTGTTCCTCCTCTGGGGGATTCTGTGGGGACAGGTGAGCACGAAACAGGAGCCTTGTGGGTTCCTCGGGCAGTGTCCTCAAGGACACCTGCAGAGGCGGCCTTTGATAAAGTCAAGTTGGAATGTCCCCATTTTAAGTTGCTCACATCGACTCATTCTCCGTCCTCCAGGTGCACCAATCTCCAGTCCTTTGACCCAGACTCCTGCCTGTAGTTCCTGTCCACGGCCATCATGCCCCGTCGGCAGAAGAGTAAGGTCCATGGTCATGAGACACGTCACCAGGCCCGGGCTGAGACCCAGGGTCTTCATGATCAAGCCACCACATCTAGGGGAGAAGAGACCACCTCCTCCTCCCCTCCTGATTTAGAGAGCGCTCCCTCAAGCTCCTCAGCTGCTGGCACCCCGAAGGTGCCTCAGGGAGCGCAAGGCACCACCAGTGCTGCTGCAGGTGCTATACCCAAAAGACGTGGTGTCGGTGCTGCAGCACGCTCAAGATCTGATGTCAGTGGCACAGCACGCTCAAGAGCTGGTGTCAGTGCCACAGCATGCTCAAGAGCTGGTGTCGGTGCCGCAGCATCCTCAAGAGCTGGTGTCGGTGCCGCAGCATGCTCAAGAGCTGGTGTCAGTGCCACAGTGTGGTCAAGAGCTGGTGTCGGTGCCGCAGCATGCTCAAGAGCTGGTGTCGGTGCCGCAGCATGCTCAAGAGCTGGTGTCGGTGCCGCAGCATGCTCAAGAGCTGGTGTCGGTGCCGCAGCATGCTCAAGAGCTGGTGTCGGTGCCGCAGCACGCTCAAGAGCTGATGTCAGTGGCGCAGCACACTCAAGAGCTGGTGTCAGTGCCACAGCACGCTTAAGAGCTGGTGTAGGTGCCGAGGGCCAAGTTCAGGGAGGTGAAAATTCTTCTCAGGCCTCGGTTGCTGCTGAGAGCTCTCACACAGATCCTCTGAACAAGAAGGTAGAGGTCTTGGTGCAGCAGATGCTGTATAAGTATAAGGTGAGGGAGCTCATTAGGAGGTCAGAAATGCTGAAGGCAATCAATAAAAGGTACAGGGCGCAATTCCCTGAGATCCTCAGGAGAGCCTCTGAGCTCATAGAGATGGTGTTTGGCCTGGTCCTGAAGGAAGTCAGGCCCAGCAGTCACTCCTATATCCTGGTGAGCAACCTAGATCTCAGCGACAGTGAGTCTATGAGAGGTGACCGGGGGCTACCAAAGAATGGTCTTCTGATGCCTCTGCTGGGTGTCATCTACCTGAATGGCCACCGCCTCTCTGAGGAGGAGGTCTGGAAGATCATGAATTTTCTGGGCGTCTATGATGGAAGAAGGCACTTCATCTTTGGAGATACCAGGAAGTTCCTCACAGAAGATCTGGTGCGGGAAGGGTACCTGAAGTACCGCCAGGTGCCAGGCAGTGATCCCCCTCGCTATGAGTTCCTGTGGGGTCCGAGAGCGCTCATGGAAGCCAACAAGATGAAAGTCCTGGAGTTTTTGGCCAAGGTCAATGATACAGTCCCTGCTACCTTCCTAGAGCATTTTGAGGAGTCTTTCAGACAGGAAGAAGAGAGCACCAGGGCCAGAGATGTAGCCAGTGTTGGCACTTCTGCCTCGGGCAGCGCTGGCACGTCTGTCTGGGATACTGCTGGCACTTCTGCCTCGGGCAGGGCTGGCACGTCTGTCTGGGATACTGCTGGCACTTCTGCCTCGGGCAGGGCTGGCACGTCTGTCTGGGATACTGCAGGCATTTCTGTCTCGGTCTGGGAACGCCCTTCTGCTGCAGCCCAGGCTGAGCATCCTGCTGCAGCGCAGGCTGAGCATCCTGCCTCAGCCATGCCTGGCCTTTCTGCTGCAGCCAGTGCTGGCCCTTCTGCCTCGGCCAGTGCCCAGGCTAGGGCCGCATCCAGCCGGTCATCTCGCCCCTAGTGTGGTCTGAAGGCTGTTCTTCACTTTGTGGTCAGAAAAGCCTGTCATCATCCTGTGTTCCTGTTGACTTGCCCCCCGCCCCCCAGTTTTCAGTTCTTTCTTTTTTCAACAGAAAGTGTATTTAGGTTCATGATACAAGTATTTGAATAACATGGGTCACACACCCTTTGCTGTTTGTCAGATTTATGAGTAGGAATTTTGTTTTTGGAAATGCGTATTGGAAATCCTCAAATCACTTTTGTGATCCCGGATGAGAATAACATCACTTTAGGATAAGAATATCCTTAGAAATGTGAAAGATGCCACACTAATAGAAGCTCAGAACATAGATACATAGAGAGATAGCTGAAAGTTCTTCAATTTTTGGTTTGCTTTACTCTCTGTTATAGTCTCCTTTTTTGTAAATGTATAAGATATATACTTGGATCTGCTTATGGTTTTCAAGAATGTTTGAGAATATAAATTATAGCAAATGATTTATTTGTGGCTCTTCTTTTACACAAACATTAATTGAGCATCTGCTTCAAAGAAGTCTTTCAGGCCTGTACTGACGCTGTTTAGTCAAGGAAACTCTCAGTCTGCCCATTCAATTATAGTTTCCAGGGAAGCTGTCATTCTGTGGAAGAGGCTGAGATGCTCTCTACCTCAAGAAGAACAAGAAAGAAGCAGGGTAGAGAGGGGGTGGAGAGAATATATTACTTTGGTTTCATTGCTAAGCAGAATTTTGCCTGATTGCAGAGGTGGGGTCATTTTTGTTTTTCTTTCAGTTAGAACGCTGCATAGTTTCTTACATCTCATAGATGCAGAAAAAGAAAAGAAACCCAGCTGATGTAACATCTGAGGTCAAGTTCATCATAATAACTGTGATTGCCCATAATTTCACAACAGAGGCAGGTGCTGTGATAGATGGTTTCCATAAATACATATATTCCACCAGTCTGACAAGGCAGGGTTTATAAAACTCACTTCACAGTGGAGAGCCCGAGGCTCATAGAGTTAGAGTTTGGTTTTGTGCCAAACTACATAAGGCTGGTCAATGACAGAGCTAGGACTAGACTCCTGCTCTAAACTACTGTAGCATACATACTGTTCTTCTCCCACGACCCTGAGACATACCCTTGTCTTTTCTTTTAAACAAGTATATTTAATATTTGACATTTCATTTTCTATTTCTTATTTATTTATTTGGCTGTGGTGGATCTTATTTGCGGCATGTGGGGTCTACTTCCCTGACCAGGGATTGAACCTGGCCCCCCTGCACTGGGAGCCTGGGTTACTAGCCACTGGACCACTAGGAAAGTCCCCACCCTGTATGTTTTATTTCAGTGTTTTTCCCAATACTTCAAAATTTGTCCTAGGTGATAAAAAAGAATGCCCTTGTGCTCAAGCTCCTGGATCAGAATGTGTAGCCAGAGCAGTAAGAGTACCAAATGCATTTAACCAGAAATGTGTATCCCTTATTCATTACTCATAGATAAATGAAAGAGACAATATTTAGTGACAGTATTAGCATGTGCATTGGCCATGTGAGATAACCTCTGAAGACCAGGAGCTCTCCATATCATGCCTGCAGTCTCTTGTCTGTAGAAAGTAAATCTATCAGAACAGAAATGACGTGAGAACCTTCACCTGGCTGATGAGATAGATTGATGTACTTTTTTCCCCTGACGGATGACCACCTGTCCTGGGACTCCTGCCTTTGGCTGTAGCTTCTCCATCTCCTATCACTCCTGGGAAAAGGACCCATGCATTCTCTGTAGCACTGCAGAGCAAGCACGGCTCCAGAGTTTGCAGAGATGTGGAATTTCCCCAGAAGCCTTTAATGCAAGACCCAGAAAGCAAGATGAGGACCCCATGTAGGAGGATTGAGGAGAGCAACACCCCAGAATATGGGGGTTGATCACTGAAACAGCACTCCCAACTGCTGTCAGTCACAGGGGATCTCAGACCTCTTAGGCTAAGCATAGCCTTGCTTATTTTTCAGGCCTCTGAGACCTAAGAAACTTGGTCTCGGAGCAGCGTTCTGAGGTTGGTAAGGGAGAGATCAGTCTCTCAGAAATGACAGTGATAAAGCTGAATGAGGGTGATGGAAAGATGCAGCGACATAGTAGGAACATGTAAAGATATACCTGTCCTTGTTGGCAGGCGCATGGAGTCCAGAACTATCTGGGCTGCTGTGGTCAACACTTTCAACTCCGGTCCCGGGAAAGTAGGGACTTTGGGAATCAGCAGAGGATAGAGCAGCCCCAGGAAGGGTGCAGAGTCAAAGTGAAGACCCAGGGTATGGACATGGAAGCCCCTCAACTCACAGCCAACAGGGCTACACTTGGCCCATCTTCTCCAGTGAACCCTGGGAGGCAGAGAGGGAAGTGCTGGCCAGGTCAAGGGCCCGCAGACTTCTGCCTTGGAGGGTGTCAAGGAGGTGAGGACCTTGGTTTATAGACTGGCTGTTCAGCAGAGTGGAAATGCCAGGTATGCCAGGGGCACACTCTTGTCTGAGGAGTGGAGCAGGCAACTACCCCATTACAGATAAATTCTTAGAAAATCCTGCAAATGTAATGGGGCCTGGGAGGGAACAGGCAGGACTTTCAGACTTGGTTTATCCCTCATTTTCTGAAGGCGAATGGCTTCAGGGCCTTACAGTCCTTGGACTAGTGCAGGAGGCCCCATTCAGTTGAGGTCGGGTACCCAGTTCCGAACAGGAGTCAACTGATGGCACTGGCTGACAATGAAGGATCCCTCCCAGAAGGAAGGGGGGGGGGGCCACGGAGGGCACTGTCCCTGTCAGGCCTGAGACTCTGACACTTAGGCCTGGTGATGTGGTGAGTCCTACTCACTTCCTCCCAGAGCGTCTCGTGGAGGGAAGGAATCTCAACCTGGTCAATGGGAGCAGCCACAGCTCAGCAGAAGGACGATTTCCAGATTGCACCCGAAGCCAAGGTAAGGACCCTGATGACTGAAAAGCCCATCTGTCTCAAAACAATAGGGGCAGAACATATTCCTTCCACTGCTGTTAGCCTCGGAAGACCACAGTCTGTGGTGACCCGATGAGGCAAATTCCACTTGTCCCTTGGGGGTCTTGGGGAATTGGGGGCCTGAGGAGAGAAGCCTTAAGGCAAATCAGGGAATATTTCCAGGTTATTTCCAAGTCAGGGTGAGGACGGTAAAACTGTTTAAACACACATACCAGGATGGCCACACAGAATCTTCCCTACTGTCAGACTAGAAGGCCACAGGTAGAGTTGTCAGGCCAAGGGCCCCTTCAGTTCCTACTGTGTAATAGCAGGAAAGTTGGGGTTTTGGTCTGATGGTGGTGGTCCCAAGTCAACAGAGGGGGGAGTTTTGGGCTTGGCTAAGAGTCAAACTTTGGACCCTGACTTGGGACCCTGAGAAGAACTGTCTGTCATCCTCAAGAAGCTTGTCACAGCTTTCATTCTTGTGAGACTATGGGCAGGTGTGGCTAGATAAGGCCACCCTGTTTCCTCCTCCATGCTCACAGGGAGGTATGGGTCTTACTATGAGGAGGTAGGCCTCAGGTCAAGAAGGAGGGGATTCCCCAGGCCTCGCCAGAAGTCAAATTGTGAAGCCTGAGTGAAGATTGAGGGGTCTACTCATCCCTGAATAGAGGGACAAAAGAGAGTCATGCCCTACCCTTTGATTTCAGTTCTAGAAAGCTCAGGGGAAGACTGTCAGGCAAGGCTCTCACTCACTTCTTTATACCAGGCCTTCTTGTTGTTGAATTGCTAAGCCATGTTGGACTCTCTTGTGACTCCATGGACTATAGCCCGCCAGGCTCCTCTGTCCATGGGATAATCCAAGGAAGAATTCTGGGGTGGGTTGCCATTTCCTCCTCCAGGGGATCTTCCTGACCCAGACACTGAGTCTGCGTCTCCTGCAGCTGCTGTATCACAGGCGGACACTTTACTGGTGAGCCACCAGGGAAGCCCTGTATCAGGCCTCAGGGAGGCCAGATCTTCGTTGGAAAGTACAGCCACCAGTCATGAGAAAGGAGGGATATGGTGCCTGCCAGGCACTGTGGCAGATGCTTTACAGTTACCACCACATGCCACCAGTCCTTCCAGGCCGGGCTTGCCAAACTCCCTTCAGAGTTAAAGAGCCCAAGGCTCTCTCAGAGAGTTTAATGGTGTGACAAACTTCCCGTAGCTGCTTAAGTGACAGGGATGGTTGCAGGCCCTTGATCTGAGTTAGTCTAAAGCTCACCCTCTCACTCCTGCAAGCCTGAGCTGACCTTGTACCCTTAATTCCCTTCTTATTCTCATTACTGTGAAATGTATTGGAAGCAATAAAAGAAAAACTCTAAGGGTGAACTATTACATTGTAATACATAACCAGAGCAATAATAATAATAATGCCAAAACAAATGTGACATATGAAGAGAGGAAAAAAAGAGAAAATATTTGCTGGCAATAAGATCATCTATGCATACATATGAGGTTTCAGATAAGCTTAAAAGACCAAGGACTCACAAAACAATCATCACATAGCCATTTCTTTATATAAAGAAATCTCTGTTAGATCTAAAATATAACGTTTATTTATTAGAGGTTGCCTGAAACATCTGGCTGAAGGAGAGAAGAGACAGGTTACCACGTTTTGTTTCTCTCACAGGTCTCTGCCTGGGTCCCCTTACTTATGCCATGGATTTCCCATCTCATGTCACTCCTAGGACAGGGATTCGTTCTCTGCAAGGTTTGGAGTAGGGAAACTGATCGGGGCTTTTCAGGGATGTGGCATTTCCCAAGAAGCCTTTAATCAAAGGGGCAAGGGCCTATAGGAGGACACCCATAAGTCTGGACTGAGGAGAGCACCCCCAAGAATATTAGGTGTAAGAAGCTTCCAGGGAGAGATCTCAAGGTGAACATCTCTTTTCTCTGTTGTCACAGTACAGTTGTCAGGGACTTGAAACCTTTGGTCTAAGGAGGGCAATCTCAGGTCAGAGTAGGAATTGTGTGATATATATGTGAAGCCCCTTAAAAAGA